ATTTCAAGCCAAGCCAGCAGCTTTCCCGTAATACCATAATGCTCGAGTTTTTGCAACAATATGTTATGGTTCACGCGATCAAATGCCTTGGAGATGTCTAGATAGCATGCGTGAACGGGATTTCCATTGTCCACAGCTTGCGTCCAGTCGTCTAAGGTAATGAGGAGATTGGACAGACAGGATCTGTTTTTTCTGAAACCATGCTGGGCAGCCGAAAGCAATCCGTTTTCCTCTAAGTGTTTAATGATTTTGTTTGCCACCAGTCGCTCAAGCACTTTGGAGATCACCGGCAACAGAGTCACCGGCCGGTAGTTTGACACGACCGAACGATTACCTCCTTTGTATATGGGAGTGATAACGCCCTTCTTCCAGTCGTTGGGAACCACACCGTTATTTAGGGACGAATTGAATAACTCAGCGAGAGGTGTGCATAGGGAATGAGCACACTGCTTGAGGATAAATGGTGTTATCTGATCGGCACCGGGAGATTTTCTGTGATTTAGTTCAAGTAACGTTCGGAGTACACATTCTGGAGTCACAATTACTTCATGTAGGGAGGTGGGCGGTGAGGGAGACATAAACGACATCCGGCTTATATATTCCTTCTGACAGTAAACAGTGGAATAGAACTCCGCCAGTTCTTCAGCTGCAGCTGACGCAGTGGCCGTCAGTCCATTAGGGGTATGCAGAGGTGAAATACCCGGTTTCACAGACGCCTTATTATTAATGATCCAATAGAGAAGCTTCGGATTTTTTTCCATTTTCTCTAAAAGCATTAGCTGGTAATCCTTTTTGTCGCTCGCGACCAGCGTGTTGACTTTATTTCTTAGTAACCGATATTTTTCCCATGTTGTTGTTGTTCGGTGACGTCGGTATTCAGCCCAGGCTGCATTTCGCTCCAGAATCCATTTTCGGGTTCTGCTTCGTAACTTAAAATCGAATCCCATCTGAGTATTCTTTGGAACGAAGTGGGAATGCAAACGTATTTTATTGACCAAGTTCCCCATGAAGCTAGACCATTGCTGGTGGACGTCTGGACCTTCTGAATACCAGTCCGTACAATGACTCAGGGTATTCGACAGTGCTTTCGTGTTCACTTTCCTGATCATTTTAAGCTCATCATTAGGTCTCACCGCCGAACAAACATAATCAAAAATGAGAACGACGTGATCACTCGATCCTAATGGACTTTCATATGCGATGTTTTCCACAACGTTCTCTTCGCTTGTTATGATGAGGTCCAGAATGGAAGGTATATCTGATCCTCTATACCGCGTGTTGCATGATATATGATTGTGAAAGTCAAGATCATGTAACGTCTCCTGGAAGGCACAATCGAGGGAATTTATCGGATGTTGTTGAGTCCGTAGCAAGTTTGGGAGATTGAAATCACCCATAATTAGTATCTTACTTTTATACCGGGAAGCCACGAGGCGCAGCTTCTCCATTATGGTGTAATTGTGCAGTTCCTCCGCTGAAGGTGGTCGATAGATCACACCAACAACACAGTCGTTTCCTGCTACCGTCTTTAACGAGCACCACAAGGTATCCGATAGTATCAAATCTTCATCAGTTAGCTCTTTGCACAATAGTTGCCTGCTATGGTAAATAGCTACACCACCTCCCCGAGAAATGCGATCCCGACGAAGAAGCGTCATTCCAGGGATGGCAAGTTCACTATCCGATAAGTGTGGCTGGAACCAAGTCTCGCTGATAGCAATCAAGTTTGGCAAATGCTTTTCACACAATTCAGATAATTCTGGAATCTTGTTAGTCAAGCATTGCGCGTTCGTGTATAAACATTTAATGGTGTTTATTGACAGCAGTGTTGGGCAGTACGCAAGATAATGTGCAGGTTGGGCGGTTATAATTGTGCCGACCCTGGCAGAGTCGGCAGCTGGTCGTTTTTTGAAGTTTCACCTACGGCTTCATCTTCATTAACCTTGGTCTCTTCTGTGGGTATATTGTTCCGCATGGATGTGCTTATCCTTAACTCCCTAGGGAGTAAGTTCCTGTGACGTTGCCATTGTGTTTGGATTAAGTTTAGCATATCACCACGAAGTAGTGTGAGTTTCAGGGGCCTCGGGCCGGTACCCAAATATTTTGGTGATTTCGGAATCCGATAAGTATCAACCACGGCCACGTTTTCAATTTCAAGTGTACTGCATAGAAATTGCCACTGCATGTAGTCGTGTGTGTTTTGCGCTATTTTATCTGACGTTTTGTTGGGTTCCGGAACACCCAAGATGATCAAACTGCGGTCATTTGTATGTTTGTTGGTTGAGTTTGTAGGATGAGGTGTATTTTTGCGCGATCTTTCCGACCACGGTATATCAGCGAAAATCCTTTCGCCATTGTCAGCTTCCCCCCTAAGTTGGAATGCTGATAATAGAATGCTCTCCAGGTCTTTCTCGGTATTAACGGTAACTCTGAGAAGTCTTGGCTTACCGTTATGTGGCGAATTCGGTGGTCAGCAACCTTATGAGTAGCACATTACAAAGATAAGACTGACATTCATTTATATAGAAAAATTGAAGCCAAATGCTAAGATGGGTCGTTTAATAGACGCTCATCTATTACTTGTTTTTGTGGGGTCTGAAGTCTGAACCTTATGAGTAGCACATTACAAAGATAAGACTGTTATACATTTATATAGAAAAATTGAAGCCAAATGCTAAGATGGGTCGTTTAATAGACGCTCATCTATTACTTGTTTTTGTGGGGTCTCACTGAAGTCTGGCCAGTCCATACAATAACTATTTGTTTGGTCTACAGGATAGGCTCGGGGGCAGGCATGTAGGATCATATCATCTATACACCAGTAAGTCACAGCTCCACATCTTCACACTACCGTACGCTGCGGACAAAGCGACTGATTTCAGCCCTGGCCACGGGACGTTGAAAATATTGTTAACCCCGTGCGTAAGAGAGGCTTCAGGTTTGTCCCCACTTTCGAAGAGATAAACCGGTATATTGTTCTGATATTTGCTTGTCTGGGGAATGCGGAAAAAATCGCAGAAGTAAGAAGGCAGTTTCGGGCAGGAAAGTCTTTGTAAAGCCAGACCGGGGCGATCCAGCTCTGGTTCGCCTGCCGGTAATAGGATTATGTTCCAAATATACTACTACCAAAGCATGTTTATTTTTGGCAGCCCCTCCTCTGTTAGTTCCGATTTGTGTCCTCGTGAATGGCCAACAAATGCGAACGTAATGTGTACCTAACACGAATAGGGTTCATTTGGAAAATAAGGTGGACAGGAACTAGGGGACGAGACGCAAAGACGAGAGATTCAGTTGAGTCTCTCTTGAAAATCAAATTGATATGCAAAGGAGTGTATTTGTGGAGATCTATCCACTTTGGGTTCAAGTAGAGTATAAGGTTGACGGAAACTCGAGAGCTGCGCCTATCTCATGGGCCACAAGAAAAGCGAAACCGATCGTGGGCTGTCGAACCTTATGAGTGGTGTGTTACGTTTAAACAACATCAGTTATTTCGGTGTCTGTTCACAGAAAATTCAACATGTCTCTTTCAGATATTCATGAAGCTGTCAGTTGTGTGAAAGGCAGAGATTTGTGCGCCATGTGTGCTGTATTCGTCATTCCACTGAACAAAATCCAGCGACTTAGTTTGTATTAAAAGTGTTAAAACAAGATTATCGTGTACCTAACCTCAGAAGCCCATGAATACGTTATGCATCCGCTCCAAAAATATCGGAAAGGCGATCGGTGTATGAAATATCAACCAGCCTTTCGTTCGTGGTACGAAACTTTCCCTGTGCTAAGTAGGCAAGCCACATGTTCTATAGTTTTAGTGCGGTTGTGGGACTAATCGATGAGGTGTCCTTTCATACTATTTTCTCTTATGATGGTATACATAGATCATGTAAGTACGCTGACTAAGCGTACTGTTCTGTGTATCCACAGAACTTCCGTCGAGCGGACAAGTCACCAGCAACACTGAGAGAAGCACGGCACTTTTGGTGGTTTCAGTTGGCGAATAAAAAACGAAAAGTGCTGTTCAGTTCTGTCATCCGCTTTGAGAGTAGTGCGTATGTCATGCATCCAAAGAGTTTAAACCCAGAACCTTATCAACACATGAAAATCCTAAGTAATTGGCACAGAAGAGGAAAACCTCTGCACTGGAGGCAAGGGTCGTTCTAAATGAGCCAGTCGATATTAGACCAAGTGAACCGAAATGTGTCGTTGAAGAATGACGTTGCTGTTCCCTGTGCAGGTGCTTTTCAACAGTGCTCACTGTCAACCAGTCTAGGCCGGATGATACAGTCTTCGTCTCTCAATGACTGAGTAGCTGGTTGGAGTCCCTCTAGAGAGAGGGTAGGGTATGCACGAGGGTAAAACGACTCCACTATATTCCCAGACTTTTCAGCATAGATCAATTTCATTTGCAAAGTGAAACTTCATTTTAAGTGGAACTGCTCTGCCAATATGGAGCGGAACTACTTGTTCACTTAAAAACCGCTGAAACTGTTGGATTTCCAAGACTTGGGTAAGTGAGAGAAGTGCCCCTGAAAAGTTATGATCCTCATTTGATTCATCTCCTCGTTTCGCAACCCGGTCATCACCAAGTTCATGGATCCTTTGACCTTTACCAATTAGTTTTGATGTCAATAAATCCGTAATAAAACAGCCAGCTTCGACTTGGTCTCTTTGTTTATTCCCCGCATGCAATAAGCCCAAACGTAAATACATGACTAGAGTTTGTTGACCGTTACGTGTCCATTGATATGTGCTAATATCTGAAAAGTTGGCTGCATTCGATTTAAAAAAGCTGGAATGGCACTCACAAACGGGACCCGGAAGTTCAGCATTCTAGCGGGCCGGGTACGGTCGGTTTTACTCTCGTTTGCAAGTGTGACAGTATTCATTTTGTCCGAGGTCACTCGTGAAGGCGTTCGCAGTGTGAAGATGTTTTTCTTCAGCATAGAACAACGGAACTTTTGGAAAAGTTAGTGGTATATGAAATCAAGTGCAAAGTACACATACTAGGAGGAGTTGATTTTCTCGAGTATTTTTTCCACCAGGATTTCACAGGACTCAGTAGCATCCAGAACCATGTTCTTTTCTGTGTTATCCGGCGGTTCCAGAGTAGCCAGTTGACTTGAAATCAGTGTTACTGGCATAAAGTGTCCTTTCCGGTGTCTCAAACGCTGCTCTAGAATAGTTTCGTCCGCACTGAGAAGAACAAACAGGATATCAATTTCATGATCGCCTGTGGGGTGTGCTCCGCGGACGAGTACTTGACGGTAGGCGCGTCTTAACGCTGAACAGGCGAGAACCGAGTTCGCTTCCCTTGACATCCGTTTGTGCAGACTGATTAGCCAAGGCATCCGGTCGTTATCGTCCAACGGTATTGATTTGGCCATCTTATTACGGTTCTCTTCACTGTGGTAGTCATCGGCATCGATGAAGTTCCATCCGAGTTTTCTTGCCAACGCCAATCCCACAGTTGTTTTGCCGCATCCACATGGACCGATCAGCGCGATGATCATCACAACGCTTCAGTCGCTTTCTACAGTGTACAGTAATCGATAATTGACAGACAAACAAACCAATCGCATTAGTGGAGTGATAGACATGTTGCCAAGTTCATTGTATCAGTGGTGAAAATAACGAACCGAATGGTTGACTACGGTTACATTGGCTGCGTCGTCCTGTGAATATATATATATATATATATATATATATATATATATA